AACTTTTTTTATGTTAATTTCTTACCAAACACAACAAAGTTAATAACCTAACAAAATTCTAACAAAACTTCATTACAAAACTTAGCAACTTTCTGTACAGTACTAACTAAAAACTTTCCTAGTAAAGTGGCCCTGTAACCGAACATGCCCCTAAAGTAAGCTGAACTGCCTTCCAATGTACTTCGTCTATTCTCAGTTGATGCATGAAATAACTTAGAGGCAGTTTACATGGTAGAAATATAAATAAATAAATAAAACTATCTATTGGTAAACAGCTAGCATTATCAGTTAGAGCTGAAAAAACGTGAAATAAGTAAAAGCATAAACACATAATCATGTCCAAAAAATGATAAAAATTGAGGAAGAAGATAAAGAAAATCAAAGCTCACAGTCATGTCTTTCCTAATACAAGTAAATCAATTTCCCAAACATCGTTAGTAGATTTGGATAAGTAACCCCCTATGCAAAAAACCCCCCAAAAAATCATTTGTAAAGAAAAAACGGAAAAGAGGCAGGATCAAATTTAGTTTCAAGTCTAAGAATTGAACAATTGAACACTTTGGCTTTCTACCTACCAAAACCAAAGAAGCAATACTTTACCAAATTCAGAAAACTCCAGTCAGACAACAAAAATGCATATCTAAAAAGAAGATCTTAAGTTCAAATGAATTGCATACACAACAACAGAAATAAACCACAAGCACAAAGACAGAGACTTTCATTCCCAAAAAGAACTACATCATTAGCACATGAAACAAGCAGTTGAAAAATTATATACAAATTTAGCCAGCAAAAAGCTACCCAATAAATCAACCACTCTCTTTTACCAAACGATGCAACTTTCGTCCCAAAATCACAGTTATTTAGCTACCTTCTATCAGGTACACAACAGACTTACAACTAGAGCAATGTAAGACCCATTTCATAGATCTAAAAAGAATCATCCATCAAAACCAATTGAACAAGCAATCCAATCAATGAAGAGAGACTGTACCTGCCGAAGAACCAACCAACAATATCCTATTTGCAGACAGATTCTCGGTGACCCACTTGGAGACGGCAATCACATCCTTGATTTCCGCAAACCCAGTAATAGAAGCCCTCCCCGTGGATCTTCCGACACCCCGCATGTCGAAGGTCACAGCGCTGTACCCTTTATCTGCCAAACCAGCGGCTATTCCTTTCAATAGAGCCTGACAACCACCCAAGACTGAGTATGGGTGGACAAGAACAATCACCAGGTTGTCTTTGATCTCTTCTCTGGGTTTGAAGGCTCTGGTGTGCAGCTTGACTCCGTCACTGGTCTCCACAGTGGAGGACTCTACGGTGTAGTTTGACATGTGGGAGGAAATGGAATCGAGAATATGAAATAGTGAGGGTAAGGAGAGGAAAGAATTCGAAATCGGAATTCGGTGAGGAGGAAAGATTGCGAAGATTTAATGGTGGTTGGATAACCCGATTGAAGTGCAGGAGATGAAGCTTGTGGAAGCTTGTTGGGTTGGGTTGGGTTGGGTTGGGTTTCCACTGAGGAAAGTGATGGAAAAATCGATATAAAAGAGGTAGCTAATTTAGTTGGGGGATTTGGAAAACGAAAATGATTGCTACTACACATTTTTTTCTACACATACATTTGTGTAGTTATTAAAAGGGCGGTACTGTTGAGAAAATTTTTTATATTATTATTTTATATGATTCTTATATTTCATTTGAGGAGATAATGTTTTTAATATTATAAGTTTTACGTAAATTAAAAAAATTAATTATTTAAATAATAAATTAAATTATAAAAAAATAATAT